CCCAGTGTATTATATTCAAGAGGATGGTTGGTTCATTTGATATTGATATTCAAAATGTCAGCGAATTCTTTAATTGAATTCCTAATACACATTGGTCAATTTCATGTGAAATCTTCTAAAGGTGGTGATCCTTGCATTTTGATTTTAAATTCTTGCTCAATAATTTTGAATTTATGATTAAAATTATAACATGTCATTTTACCAAGCGTAGATAATCTAATTTTCATAGTATTTTAGCTAATGACATTAGTTTAGTCATCTCCAGTTAGGTGATTATTCAAAGTGGTGTGAACAAGTGAAAATGGATGAAATGTGACCTTTGTGATCATCTCGTAAGTTGTGAGACTTCTATATATTACACCACTAGTATATGTACATAAAATAGTTTGGTTATTATTTGTATCCATAATTACCACCAAATTAAGTACAAGAAACTTGAATCGTTCAAAGACACATCTCTGGAAATTAGGGCGTCAGTAATTAAATTAGTTTACAGCATGACACAAATGAATAAAAAACAAAATTACAACAAGGGACTTAGACTGACAAAATCATTGTACTCTGGACCATATGCACTGCCCCCCCCCCCCTCCCTGACAGATTCTGTTGTCCTCCTTTAAGCATGGATCCTTAGAGATTTAATAATATTGTATAGCAGAATGCAGGAATTTCAATGCCACATACTTCTAACACTTATTAAGGTTCACGGGTATTTTAATTTATTGAGTAAGATAACAATTTTGTCACAATATTTTTTTTTTTTGCATATATCCCATAGCCTTTTTGAGTGTTTGCAAATCATGTAACAAAATGCTATATATGCACATATATTTTCCGTAAGAATCCATATGACAGCTTTAATTCATAGAGAATGTTTTTTCCTCAGAATCCCATTAGAACAAGTAATATTGTTTTTCACTATATGTCACCCAAATATATTTTCAGATATGACTATCTTTTTCTCACAGAAACCAATGTTGATTGGCTCAAACATCGCCGTTTTGATGTTTTTTTGTAGTTATTTTCAGGTAATAAGTAGCATTGTTTTTATGCAAAATAAAACCATATATGAAAATCATTGAAATCTGAATATTTCTTTTACTATCCATGAACAGACTTAAACTATAATTGGTAGCTAAAAATAATCAACAAAGAATTTAATGACTTAATTATCAATTACTGCTAATTTGCATAGAGAATATTCTTTTGCATAATTCAATATTCACAAAAATATTCTTGTTAGTAATATATTGGGTAGGAGGAAGAGTGGTTACATAATGCCATACTCCATAAAGCAGGGGTTGGAGTACGAAATTCAATTGATACTGCTCCCAGGATGCAGTACATTACTAGTCTGAATTTTAGTTAATTTTACAGTATAGTATACCATTTCACTTTTTTTGCCTGTGAAGTCTGACTGAAAAAAAAAATGAAATTGGGGCACTGTATGACGACACATTTTTCAATCCGCTTCGGAGGAGACTTACCATACTGGTATTACACTTATTTGCAAAGGATGATATAAAAGGCCAGGTGGTGATGAGCGCCCCATTGGATTAGTTAATGCTGAAGTGATGGTGATGCAGTGTTCAAAAATCTGTGTCTATGATTTATGAAATGTGTATTTTTTAATTCTACCATATGTTTACTCATCATCCTGTAGTATGTGATGTCTTGTCTGTGTAGTGTAACTCTATAGCCATTGTCATACCATAAGGTTGTCAAGTGAGGTAGTTTTTAATTTCAGTAGATTAACTAATTTTGTCACAGTCAGCTCTCTAAATTTGAAACAACTATTACTGGTAAACAATGTTACATATTTTGAGTAATGTTTTTGAAACAAGCGATCCAGTTTGCTTTCACGTCTTACCAGGTAGATTAATTCTCAGATTTGTTTTGTTCATTTCATGAGAATATCTAGAAAATATTTGTTTACTTTGGTAATTTGCATTATTGTTACAATAAAGGATGTTAATTTGCATAATTGTTACAAATGAAGATGCTGATCTGCATAATTGTTACCATTAGCATGTTAATCTTTAGTATGAACATTTTTGTGCAACATTTATCTTGTTTGTTTGTTTGTTTGTATGTATTTATTTCTAATTTCCTCGCTAATTTCACACCAAATTTACATTATTTCCCATCAGCTACAGATTTAGATCAACATTTTGAAAAAATATGGGAAAATAATTATGTAGGATTTTTTGACATTTTGAAAAAATATGGGAAAATAATTATATAGGATTTTTTGTGGAAGTTGAAAAAAATGTGACTTCGATGTTTAAATGGTCTAATTTGCATATGGTCATGGAATAACTAATAATTATACTTGTTTTTCAAATATTACTAAGATAAACATGTTTTTTTTTTTTCTGTAACCAACTTGTTGACCTAATTGATTTTGCATGACACAGGGTTGTTTGCATTAATGTTTTTTTTTATATTCATGTCATTTTTATTTCGGTTATGTTTCACTATCTTAATCTGAAACAATCAGCAAGGTTACTTTGATATTTATCACTAAGTTAGGTATGCCAAGGTGTGCCATTTCTGGGTGTGCTCCTTAGGCTACTGGATTTTTGTTCGTCATCAACTTCTTATAAATGACTCTTCTTGAAAATTACTATTTACATTGCTACAATATTTGGTTTTTCTTGTGATCTTATTCATTTGTTCATTTTGTGATACATAACTTCAATTTGATTATTTTTGGTAAAATTTGTTTTTTCAACTTTTTCTCAAAATCCAATTGTTGGATTATTGATATGTAAGCGATAGTATCAGATATGTTCATTTTGGGATGAGAAATTTTAATATTCTCTAATATTAGTAAATACATTTGAAGGAAAATTAATTATATTATGAACTTCTTCTTCAAAACTACCAGCCTGATGCAGAAATGGCATTACAGGAGGCCTTCTTGTCTTGACAGGTTGCTTCTTTATAATGTTCACATTTTAGTAACTTTCAAAGTTTGGCAACCTGACAATAATTTATTTAAATATTTTTGTTTTGGCCAAATTGTATTTTATTTTATATGAAATTGATTCCTCATTGAATTTTGTCTGTCGTTAGGACCACCGACACGGGTTGTCTAATGTATGAGATGTAATGTCCATTGTGGTTGTCGCTACCATCATCATTATCATCGTTGATGTTTCCATCTTTGCCAGAACCCTGCATACATTTGGTTCAAATGTGGTACAACCCCCCCCCCCCCCCCATTAACTTGCCATTTCCTCAATATTTGTTGGCATAATCACTTTCACACTTTGACAAATTTCCATCTTTCGCAAACTAAAAATGAAAAAAAAAATACATAATTTTGTATTCAGCTACTAAAAATATGTGTTTGCCATCTACATGAAATAACTTTTTGGCAAACTTCAACAATTTGAATGGGCATGCACTTACTAATATACTACAGGATACATACTTAAATTTACATAAATATAAATAACAACTCTCGAAATATTGTCTTGTGATTGGTCACTTCCATGTACATCCGTTCGTGTAAAAAAAACATTAATTTCATATTTTTGTTGATGACCGAAACAAGTATTTTGGTTTTATTGGTTTCATTATTTACTTAAGGCTGAAATTAATCTGAAGTAATAGTGTATACATTTTATGTGGATAATGTTTTCTCAAAATCCACCAGTACATATATAACTATTTTCTTATTTTATTGATGGGTCTTTTCCAAACTCAATCTGACCCTCTCCCCATTTTTGAATGGTTTATCCCTTAAGGTTGGCCTGTCAAATATCTACATTTCTGATTCATATAGGCTGTATTGGAGTTCTTAAATGTGTTTTTTTAACACTACCTCCCCAAAAACCTTAAATTTTCAGAAATTAGAAAGTGTCTGTTTTAATCTCGAGGAGGATTTTGAGTACCTACATACTGTAAATGCATTAATTATTCACTGGATTTTAATGTTGCTACTTTCCCTGAGAAGTAAAATCCGCTAAATGAAATCTATGTGAACATAAGAAATAATAATATACTGTAAAATACTTTATTTTCGCTTGGAATTAATTTTTGCTATTTTCGCTGAGGTAAGGTATCAGTGAAAATAAAATCCAGTTAATATACCTTTTTTCTTGTATGTTACATTAAAGTTGCGAAAAATCAGTGAAAATAAATTCCATACAAAACACCCAAAAATATCTTTTCAGCGAAAAAAAAGTATTTCACAGTAACTCATTGTTTCCCTGGCAAATTTGTGATATTATAATCCAGTGAATATCTCAAAACATTGAAATAACAAAAATAAATGGTTTTACTGTACTATAATGGATTTTCTTTTTTTTTAAATCTTAGATCATGTAGGTCTCCATCCAAATTAAGAAAAAAATAATGTACATAAAAGTACATGAAACGTACATAAAAGTACATTACGCCATTTTAAAGAATTCGTCATAAAATAAGCCTATATAAGAAATGGTTTTCAAATAGTACAAGATATTCCTTGTCGAGCAGGTCAATTCTGGAGTTGACCAGCGAATGCATTATATTGGAGTGAAATGGAGCTGAAGAAATCTACACTATTCTTTAGGGGGGATGTATTTCATTTGTTAAAGAAAAAAAAAACTGCAAACAATATAGTTGAATGCATGCTATGTTTGGAGGAAAAAAAAATGTTCTACCTAAAATTGTTGATTTAAGTAAAAAAATATACACATTGGCTGTGCTCCTGTTGTATTCTATTAGTGATTGTGTATAATTATAAGCAATGGGCCCCTGACCTGTCATTGTTACTTGCACTGCTACATGTAGTGAGGCCTAGAAAGGGGATTCTTCTGTGAGCTTTGAAGGCTGGATTATAATGCAAGAGAAACGTAATTGTGGTGTCTGGAGGACCATCTTTGCTATAATTGTTATTTTGGGATGGTAATCTCCCCTGTCTCAGTATTGGGAAGTAGTAAACGTCTCCGTGAATAAGAACAAATAAAATAGGTTTAGGTTTGGTTTGTTTTGTGTGGCTTCATGCGTGTGCTTTGTTGAACAGCTAAAGAGTTCACCTCTTGTTGCACTGCTGCCGAGTGCCCTTGGCTTTTAATCCTAGCAAATTGACCTCTTTGTCAATTTAATTCCTGTCTCCCCCTCCCCCACTCCCCAAACCAAGGCTGGGAAAGGGAAACTAATTGCTGACAAAATATCACGACGATTCAACGCAGTAACCACTGCCCTGTGTATAAATGCTTAGTTGCCCCCTCATTTGAATTTCAGAGGTAGCATAAACCAACCAATCAGCTTGGAGGTTGGGCCAAATTTAGCTCACTAGTAAATATATGCAGGATACACATGTAGCACTGTGGTAGGATGTCTCAGTGTCGCAGTGTGCCCGGTGTCTCGTACATTGCCCAAGTCTGATGGAGATGTGCTTCCCTATGTGACATGACGGTCTGTCATAGTTGTAGTGTTTTGTCATCGTTATCATGGCCGCTGCTGACTTTAGTCCATTTGCTCCGCTTTATTACAGGAGGCATACCCCCTTTGTTAGCCAGCCGGACTACAGAATCTACGAATTAAATAAACGTCTTCAGCAAAGGACAGAGGTGAGTTATATATTTTTTAAAAACCAAATTTAATAATTATCTCATCTGCATTCCTCCAATTTTAGATGATAACTTTAATCTTTACAGTAAGTGGGTGATCACACAAAAACAAAATATTGCACTTTTATTTATAATTTACAATTTAAAAAAAACTAAAACTTGAGATTCTCAACTTCTATGGACAAAAATTCACATGAATAATTGTATAGTACAGGTAGCTTTTGTAAATAACTAGTGTAATATGTACATGTGGTGTATAATATCACTGTATATATGGGGTGAATTATGTCTCAACCCTAAAATCAAAAAGGAAAATCCACTAATATTCACAGTGGCAACTTATAATATTAGCTAGAGAAGAAGAGCTAAAGAAATGTATCTGGGTAGGTCATGTATGCGTTTAAGGTAATACATAGGTGCGTTCAGCATATTGATTTTGTAGCAAATGCCATGTGGTAACTTGGTAATATTTTCACTCCATTATCTAAAACTGGGAAATTATATGTTTCAGTTCTTTCAATTAAATATCATTTATTTATTTGTGAAATAATGTTTTTTTGATTACCAAAAAATAGTTGTGAGTTGGGAATTATTCATCAACTGACCTTAACACACAACATTAGGGAAAGGGTGTTTCTCACATGTATAAAAGAGGCTAAACCATTCTCATCTTCTTGGTAGAGATGGTGAAAATTGTAAATCAGGGTGATGCAATTCTAATATCTTTAAAAAAAAAAATGACAATCTTCATGAAAACAAAATTATTAAAAAAAAAAAAGATTACGTGAAGCTGCACAAAATAACATTTGTTCATTCATATTGGTCTTCCACTTATACTCAGCTGAACCCCTGCTTGTGAGAATGGTTTAGTCTATACATTTAATCCCAACAACAAAGGAATAGTTGCCACATTGTTAGTTGGGATGTGTATTTCTGGGAGGCTGGGAGTATTATTGTACAAACTATACACTATGAAAAGGTCATGGGTTGAGGACTGAAATTTAAGGTTGTTATTACAAAAAATATATTTAAATTTTTTGTTTTATATTTTATATCAATTCAATTGTATTTCAAAATCTTCAATTGGTCCAGTTGTGTTTCTGATTTTTCACTTTTTAAGGCAAAATTTTTAAAACTAAACGCTTGTTTCTAAAATGTGCAATATGAAAAAAAAATTTGTAATTTTACAAGCAGTAAAAACAGTGCGATCATGCCTGTGTTGAATTGCTTCTTTCACCATTGGCAAGAACTCCAATGTCATCTTGCTTATCAGTTTCTCTCAACATGACAAGGGTCATACGTTGTACCACTTTTAATTGCGCATTTTCAATTTTTGGCAATACAACAATTACAACTTTTGTCATATTTGCTAATATAATTAATTTTATTTATCTCTGTGTTTGTTTACCAGTCTAGAACATAACTAAAACCAGAATACAAATGTGGGAACAACAAGCACTGCTCAATAAATAAAACAAGATTATGTTCAAGACAATAATTATTCCCCTTAGTGTTGAAACATTTTGCACTTTTTTCTCGAATTTCTTTGATAATTTCGGACCAAATGGACCCAGTTTTTTCATTGGCTTCAGGTCTTGATATAATTGTTTGAAGCAATGTGGAAATAATTCAAATTTATTTTGTTAAAAGTGACAAAAGCTGACTTGACCATTCAAAAAGTGAAGCACTTATTCTATTACTTGACCTGTAATGTTTTTTTTAACAATTGTTCTACTTCTGAGATACAAATTTAGGGATTTTGTTTAAATATGGTACAAAGGCAAGACATACCTAATTAGTTGCATTTTCTTTTCATTTATTT